AATTAATATATTTTCCCATTTAATTAGTCCCACCTACCATTTAATAAAATTAAATAAAATTTAATTAATTCTTCCATGAATTAGGAAATAATTTTATTAATTGAAAATTGAAGTTGAAGGATGTTTTTGGTACTTTCTGAAGTCCAAGGATGAATTGATTCAAAAATAAAAGTTGAGGGACCAATTCAGGTATTTAACCTAAAAATATGTTAGCCACGTCAACATCACTATTCAATTAATCCTTAAATAGAAAAAGTTGAAAGCTGACATCCTTAAATAGAAAATGTTGAAAGTTGACATCCTTATTTAAAAACTAACAAAGTTAACATCCTTATTTAGAAAAAAAAAATTGAAAGTTGACATCCTTATTTAGAAACTGACAAAGTTATTATCCTTAAATAAAAAAAAAATGCAAAGTTAGAATCCTTATCTACACCTTTACTCGAGGGGAAAGAAAGGAAAGGGAAATGAAGAAAATGGAAGGAGATGATTTGTGCTAATTTTGTTTGGATAAATAAAAATGAGGAAGGGGAAGAGAAGGAAAGGATTATATTTTTTATATTTTGATAATTAAGATAAAAGGAAAGGAAAGATTTAAATTAATTTTAAATTTACAAATTTATCTTTTTAAAATGGAGGAGGATAATTTATGATAATATATAAAAAGGTTAATTATGTAATTATCTTTAACTTAATCTAAATAATCCCTGCAATCCTTCCCAAACCCCCCAAATCGAAAGGATTGCAAATCTGCAAAGTTGATGGTAGTTGGAGGGAGTCCGAATCTGTCGATCTCCCTCCCCTTTTGCCTCCTTAAAAACCCAAATAAGAGGAAGGAAACAACCTCCCCTCACTCCCCCTCCCTTATCATCCGTCTCCATCCCTTCCCCTCCCTCTCTGTCTGATACCTTCAATCCAGACAATACGTTAGTGTCAATATTAAGGGCTTGAATTTTTGTATTAAATATTTTAAAATTGGCAAAGGCAAAATTCTAAAATAAATGAGGAAGAGGGACTAGGAGGAGGAGTTTTTCTCTGTTATATAATTCACAAATCGTAAACAATAGAAGGGTGGATATGGTAAACATCAGAGATGTTATTTCTAGTTATATATTTAATAATGAGAGATATTATTTTAAATTATATATTTAATGATGAATTATATAAGATAAGATAT